TAATAAATTTGTAATATTTTAAAAATATTTTACTATATATGCTAATCTGTAATGAAAAGATTGCCACACTATATATGCCAATCTGTAATGAAAAGATTGCCACACTATATATGCTAATCTGTAATGAAAAGATTGCCACACTTTTTATAAAAGCGATTGGCTTTGAATGGCATCGATATATTACTCTGCTCATATTAATTCTGCGTGCTTTAAAATTAACGAACACAAAGAATCTCACACAAATGTATATTCTTTGAGATTTAGATCTCGTTCGTCTTTGCAAATTAACAAACATATTATCAAATTTACCTTGAGACAAAATATTAGGCTACTGACTTTTAACTTGGCTCCTGCTGTTGATTACTCGTGGTAGCTTCTATTAATCTTTGCCTTTCTCTATACATAGAAACTTTCATATTCTCTAGCTGATGATACCTTAATAGCTTTAAAACAGCAAAAACCGACAAACCGACCCAAATTGACAAGCTGCTCCAAATACCAAATTGAGCAGCACCAAGTTCGATATGAAAACCTGATGTATCAATAGCATCAGCTTTGTCAATATCATTTCCAGCTGCTAATTCACATGATGGAAACCTCTTGGTCATACATTGACACCAAGTCATGAAACCTAAAGTTACAATAATCGCAGCTATTAAGCTGATAGTGGTGAGAACGATGGAAGTTACAACGTCTACAAACGCAGAGAGAAATGAACTATCTTCGCCACGGTACATAAACAGAGACAATCGGTAGATTTGTATACTCGATGTTATGAGGAGTATCAGGCCTACGAATATCGTATAATTGCAGTATAATTGCGATGCCCAATTTACTACAAACTGGCCATCTGACTCTTGCCATACTCCAGTCGAAAACAAAAGACAATGTCCCCTAAAAAAAAAAGAAATAATAAAACTCGCGACGCATAATAGAAAAATTCATGATTACCATAATATCAAGCTACGATTTTACCTAAACTCATCCTGATGTAGACTCATAGGCACGATGATGCAGAGCGATAGAATAAGAGCCACAACGTAGCCCGCTATTTGGCTGAGCAACAAAATATTTGACAGTGCCATATTTTAAGGGCCAATATGTATGGGATGATCCGACAAGAATATTTCACGATTTAATGTATCGATAAAATTATATGTGATTACGATAAAAGCCGGAATCTATGCATCCTATATTTTTCATTGCACAGAATAAACACGGATCGAGGCCGACTATTTGATAATATTCGTAATTGTCAAAATAATCCGTGATAACAGAATCCCTGTTGTAATCACGGTATGGTGCAGGATACGTTGCCAGCAATGACATATATATCTAGACCAAGCATTCCCATGTTTTGTTACGTTCGTGTGCTAGTGATATTTTCTTTTTCCTCTTCTGACACACAATAGCCGCTGATTCAAGTGTAACGTGACATGCCGCCTCCACATGCGAGCGATTCGGGCCGCGTTGCTGACCGTGTCGCCACCAAGCAAACCAGTTCTAGAGCTGAGCACTCCCCTCTCCTATAACGTAAGACAAAATGCGTGGGAGTAAGATGACGGACGCTTAAAAGGCCGTCTATATAAGTCGCAAACGCAGAACGCAGTTCGCAGACGTATTTGCGACAGCCAATCAGAAGCGTTAATGGTACTAATAACAGCTTTTCAATTCTCTTTCGGAAATTCGGAAGGAGGCGTCCCTCACCCTCTCTGTTTTCGGATTCCCGACTGAGGCGACCTAATGACGCAGTCCCATGGTGCGGAACGTACGAGTATGCGCAATGCGGAATTGGCGGAACGCTCGTGATTGGTTTAAATGCGCATGCAATGTACGGAATGTAAGATATGGAAGAAGACAAAAATGTCGAATGTTCATTCAGAACCGTAAGAATATTATTAAAGCTATATATTAAAATTTTTAATATTGAAATTTATATTAATGCAATGTTATATATTGAATAATTTCTTTATAACATATGAGTTTATTATTTTCTCTGCTTATACATAAATTTAAGGTTATAATAGTTTATTATTATCGTAGATTAATAAAAAATGCGGGTATTGTGGATATATTCTCACAGAAAACTTTGATCTATTGAACCATTCTTGCTTTCAACTATTTAACGAAGAAATTCATCATTTAAAAGTGGATGAAAATTTGGTAGTTACTGTTGGTAAGTATAATATTATTATTTTACTAATGAAGGTACATCTCCCTTAGCAAAGTATGTCATTAATTATCTACTGAAAAATTACAGTTTTAACAATGGGACATACAGAGTGGAATTTAGTTTTATGTTTACTAAACGAACAATACTATAGCGTCTTTTGCAGAAGAGTTCAATGAATCCAGTAATGTGCAAGATGATAGTGTTTAAGAAGTTGACGTTGATGAGTTACTAATACGAGGGGTGTTCAAAAAGTAAGTTTCCCTGCTCCGGGAAAAAAGCAAAACACAATTTTTAGGTTAAAGTAACATATGTATTTATTGTTTGACTTATAAACTATTTTTCTACATAGTCCCCTTGGACTTGAATACATTTTTTATATCTGTTCTGAAGCTTTGACAAACCTTGTTTATAAAAATCCGTGCCCTGTTTTTTAAAGAATAATTTAACAAAGTCTTTCACTTCATCATTTGAATTGAAGTGATGGCCACCCAAACTTTCCTTTAACTTAGGAAAAAGAAAAAAGTCACTTGGTGCGAGATCTGGAGAGTAGGGTGGGTGATCAAAAATTTCCCATTTGAATTTTTCCAGTAAGGTTTGTGTTTTTTTTGCTGAATGAGGCCGTGCATTGTCGTGAAAAAGCAACACTTTTCTCGATAATTTTCCAGGACGCTTTCGTTTAATGGCACTTTTAAGTTTATTTAGCACTTCACAGTAACGATCTGCATTTATCGTGGTACCGGATTCAAGAAAATCAATCAACAGAACACCTTCGTTGTCCCAAAAAACTGTGGCCATAACCTTACCAGCAGAATACTGGATTTTTGCTTTTTTTGGAGCACTCTCTTCTGATTTCTTCCAAACCATACTTTGTCGCTTCATTTCAGGGTTTGTGTGGTGAACCCACGTTTCATCCCCTGTCACAATGCGTGAGTAAACATTTTCGCCTTCATCTTCAAGCATGTCAAGAAATTTTCCTGCAGACTGAAGTCTTTTTTGTTTGTGATCATCTGAAAGCAGGCGTGGGACCCACCTCGCACAAACTTTACGGTAACGAAGATGATCTGTTATGATTGTGTGGATTGAAGTTCGACAAATATCGATTTCAGGAGGCATTGAGTCCAAAATTCTGTCAATTGTAAAGCGCCTATCCGCCAAAATGATTTTTTCGACTGCTGCGACTGCGTCATCTGTAATGGCGGTTTTTGGCCTGCCTGCACGCTGCTCATCATGAACTTCTCCGCGTCCCTCGAGAAAATATGTACGCCACCGACGCACCATTTGCACACTCATGCATTTGTCACCATAAATATGCACTAATTCAGTGTGAATTTCGTTGCCATTAAGCCCTTTTGCAGTTAAAAAGCGAATAACTGCACGCAACTCACAAGTGGACACGTTTTTCACAGGTAGCTCCATGGTTTCCGAGCCGGTACTGATGAAAAAAATTTTTTCGGCAGCTAAGACCAGTTCCGCTCTTATCGGTATATCCTAATCTAAAACTATGTTCGGTCCCAGCTCGCTAGATGGCGCTGGGGCAAAACGGCAGACTAGGGAAACTTACTTTTTGAACACCCCTCGTATATCATGTATCCCAAAAGCGAGCACTATATGATCATCGAATATTATCAAGCGACAGAAGCATTTTGAAAAAGAAGGTATTGTGGCAAGAAGTATCTAACTCATTGGAAAGTTAATATGTATATTTTGGCCATGTATATGATGATAAACTCATTGAAATTTTTTAATGATCATCATGTTTATAGGGAAACTTAATATAGCTGAAGCCAAAAAATGATATCTTCAAGATTGATTCATGAAGGCCAAAAAAAGGAACATGCTTATATTCCTAGTGAATCTGCTGCCAAAACAGTAACCAAGAAAAAAAGTTCCTTTAGGTTTTACGAAAATGAAATTTTTAGACGATGTCTTAGGA